GCAGAGTCCCTTGTGAAAAAAGGGTGAATTCTTTCGATTTCGGGGAATGGGCTTTAGGCTGTTGTTTTTGAAATGTACTGACGGGTTTGCAGCTCAGAGCTGGGACAAACGGTGAGGCAAACTCTACCCGACACCGTCTAATACAGGGCCCCACGTCCTTTGACCAAAACCGGGTGTGCAACCCTCAAGGCCGAAATGGTATGTCCTCCGATTCCGGAAACCTATAAAGTCCCTGTAAGCAGTCCTCAAACCCAACAGCCGGCTAACAAAGATCGGGATGAGGAATCAAGAAGATTCGAGTCTACTGGAGGTTCATGTTCTTCCTTCTGCTGCTTGCAATGCTCATTGTGTCCGACCCTGAGTTGGTGGGTGGAAGGTTCGAAGATTCGGCCCGAATTCAAGCGTTCTTAGCAAAATCTGGGATGGCAATGACTCCGGAATTTCGGGGCCCTCGTCTGGAAGTTCAGGGTGATGAAGCTTTCTTGAGCAGCGTAGTTCGCTTTGCAGAATGTGGTGCTTGCCCCCGGCTGCAGTAGTTGTACATAGCTGGGTGACATCTCCATACCAAAGATATGTTTTCGTAAATTCCGTAACCTCAAAAAGAGAGAGAAAGAGAGTGAGAGAGAGCGAGAGGGAGAGAGGGAGAGAGGGAGAGAGGGAGAGGGAGAGAGAGAGATAGAGAGAGAGAGAGAGACAGAGAGAGAGTCCAGGCCAGGAACAAGTTTGTTCCTCTATAGACTCCTAGTCTCAGAGGCGCACAACCTTTTTGTTGGGTTGGATCTCGATTGTTATCCGAACTAGCGGAAGTCGGGAGGTCTACACTACGGCTGAGGCTAACAAGCGGATACTTGGCGCACTGTTCATGGGCTCTCAAGATTAGTACGCCACTCTGAATCAGGAGGAGCATCCTAACAACTCTTTGCCGAACTTAGGCCATGTCCAGGATGAGCTGACCCGAATCTCATGTTTCCGGACTTCCTAGGACCCAACACAACCCGAGGCTCATTCATGAACTTACCAACTTAGGACGATGTGAGAAGGTAAACCCTGATCTCTCAAAGCCTCATAGAGACCGGTGTCATACGACGGCCTCTCTGCCTACCTGCCGCAGTCTTCCTTTTTCGCTGCCCACGTAGATTCGCTCGTACTGTAAGCAGCTAAAAAGGACGCCATTTTGAGAGAACTGCCCTAAGCGCTGCAGTGATGCTGAGGGTGATCTTGCTGCTGGGAGAGGAGGAGGGCTCTGTCCTGTGGGTGTCCCTCGGCCGAGCCATTGTCGGGGCTCCGCATTTGACTAGGCCTTTTGGAGGGATGTGTGCAGGAGGGTTCCCTTTTCCATCGATCTTTTAGCCTTAAGGGGTTTTAGAGTGCTTTAGAGTTGCCTACTACCCAAAACCCTAAACCTCGCGGATTTAGAGTTGCTTAGGGTGTTTGGCTGTTGCTTATGTTCCAGTCGGCGTTTTCAAGTTTTCCCCTGTGCTTCAGGCCTCACATTTATGGCCTACAAGGCCTTACAGAGCTTACAGGGTTGAGAGTGTAG